ATTTGTGTTTTTCTGTTTATATTTTGAATATTTCTTGTTTAAACAAATTTACCTTTTTACTGTACAAAAATTTTGAGTTAATTTCAAATCAGGATTTTTATTTTAATTAATTTTTTAGTTTTGTTAGTTAAGTTTATTTTAAATCAGTTATACATTTTTATGTTTCTCTTTTGCCTTTACTGTATGTTTGATGATGTAGCAAGGGCAGTTTACTGTTTGGGCTGGTGCCTGTTCCTTGCTCCTGGCAAGATTGTACTTTTACTTTGCCGAATAAATATTATTATTACATGTTCTGGTTTATTTTCAACTTTTGCGATCAATGTTGTTCTTGTTCGTTTGGTAATGCCTACTGTCTTATGTTTTGTTTTTTCAAATTTATATAATTTACTGGTAAATGAATTGATACTTATTAGAAATATGAATTAATTGAAAATGTGGCAAAGACAAGCCAAACCAATCACTTGTCGCAAATTGTGTTTCAGAGAAAATGGCCAAAACATGCTGGAATGTCAATTTTAAAAAAATCTATTTTATTGCACTAAACTAACCTTTATATATCTACACATCATTCTATGCTGTCATCTTCCCCATTTTCAATGTTAAAACAACACTTTTTAAGGATTTAAAGATAGTTTCTGCATGGGAAATGCCTGAAATCATAATCTTTGAAGGCTGATTTCTCATGTATTGTTCTTTAAACAGTTGTATGTTTAAATGCTTGTAACTTCATAAGGAAATGTCGGATGATTTTTTTACCATTTTATAGCTTATCATATTACTCTCAAACACTGTATTAATAACTCAAAATCGATTTTTGCGACGAGTAAAAAGTAAAATCCTGGGGTTTAATGTGATTATGTACAGTAGTTAAACTGACTTTTACAAATACTTTCAGAAGTATTTGCTATGATGAATTACCAGTAGGCATGCCGTGTTGAAAATTTGCATTTTCATTGGCCATTTCGATAAAGTTGACAAGTTTTTTTCATGAATAAGAGATTCCCCGGGTCTAAGCCCACTTCCTAAAAATTGACCTACTTTCAGGATCATGGGGCTTAGACTTACACCCATGGAATTACAGTTGGTATTAATTTTCTTATTACTTTACTTTAACCCTGGCATTATAAAGACTTCATAGACAAAGCTTACAACTAAAAAGAAAAAAGCCCTCCACCTTCTTTTTCCAAATGAGAAACTAATTTTTGTTTTTACCTGGCCATATTTGTACTATGCTTTTGTAATTACTGTTGAGTGAAACATTGTACATATTGATTGATTTTCATGACTCTCTATAACTTGGACTTATCTAAGAGACTTTATTACTGAACACCCTGCATTAGTCTACAGTAGTTGGTTTCATGTTTGCATATTATCTGATATAGTGAAATTGATTTTTGCTCGTGTGACTAGACGACATTTGATAACGCCTCAAGCTCGGGGTCTTGTATTTTGTGTCTTTGATGCTGACCTAAGCATTGCCCTTAGGCCCTTTAGAGAGTTGATTGGTGTGAGAGTTTACGTTTGTTGTTCCATCTGCAATATTGTTATTCAAAAGAACGATAACAGCTTTGATGCATTTTTGGTCTCTTTTGCCTAAAAATGCTGTCATAAATTGGTTATAAAACAAATAGAACATTTCATATTTTATCATTATTTTAAAAATATAAACAAGATTTTAACTTTTAGGACATCTTTTCATTCATTTTGATCCACTAGGGTCGTTTGGTGAGTAAAAGTTAGTGTCATATAGGTGTCGGAGGGGGAGGGGGTTTACTTATGTAGAATCATCTATAATGCTTAATTTTTTGTAGGAATGTAATTTACATATTTTTTTCCCTTTTATAGAATATATTTGCAAATGTTTGTATAAGTTATAATAAGCGCTTACCGAGAACGTAGTGTTTGTTGGCTAATGGCCCTATAACCGTTGTGTGACACAGTGTTTGCCGGGCTTAATCATTTGAGGCATGTTGTAACGAAATGGTTAAGTTGTCGCACAGTCCAGTATTGAGTAAATGAGCTATAAAATATGGGAGCTCAAAAAATTGCCTAAAAATCCAAATTTGTTTTTCACTATAGATCAACAGTTTAATGTCTTATTAATCCTGTCCCAAAGTATTAGTTCTGGAAGTGGTAAACCAGGGGTTTCCCCTAAGGTTTTTTTTAACTAGCCAAGTGGACCAGTAAATAAATTAATTTTTACTGGTCCTCAATCCCTTTCACTAGCCACTATCTTGCCAACTTCGGAAGGCCCAAATACCATATTTTTGACATGCTAATCATGCTGCCCCCTCCCCCCACCGATGAAGTAACACTGACAGATACAGAAAAATCTTTCTGTTGTCTCAGTATGGGAAATTATGCCTCGAAATATAAATACAGGAATCTATTTGTATGTACAGTGCACTCTCATAATACGATGTTCGCTACGATGTTCGGTTTCCGGAAAGATCGGTTTGTGGAACATTTCTAAATTCTATTAAATCCTTTCCGAATAAGGCAGGCCAGTTATGGCCTAGCCTAGGCCTAGACGCTAAAAATAGGCTTAGCAGCATAGGCTAGCCCAGTGAATTCGGTATGAATAGCCTACGAAAAAAGTTAACATATAATACGTACAGTACCTGTTGTTTAGCTGTATTGCACAGCAAATTGTATTACAGTACCAATAAAATGAATGCTTTTATATTGTTTTTACGTGCATTTTCGGTCTGACATTTTTTTATAAACTGTAAACGCATCCTTCGTGTGGGGGTCACGACGATGCGACTTGTGAATATATCAGGTCGCGCCTCCTAAACTCTGCACGCTAATTGGTTAATTTTTTTCGTGGGGTTATGTTGCTGGGCAAAAATCCCATGTGACGTCAGATCGCCCAAAGTTTCATAGTGCGTGACAGCTTGCTGGCAGGAACAAGCTTAGTGTAAACCGATAAATTTTTAATTAAACAAATTTATTAAAATGAAAAAGAAACCCTCATGGTTTTGTTTTAAAGTAAAATCTAAAATTAAATCTAACAAATTAAAATTTCATTCTCTGCAAATTCCCTCCGTAATTAGCAATGTTTTTGGGGAATGTGAGTGTAATTTACATGTAGACTGATATATGAATCTAATGACATACCAAATCCGAATTAAACGTCTACTGAAAAAGAGCCGTCGTAGAAACAATTGCTTTGAGTTCCTTTTTCATTTCAGGTTGATTACAGTCGATTTTTAAGTATTCATAGGCGATAATGCACTTTATTAAAACAATGGAAGGCATAACTTTCACTTTATCTAACATTTTACTGTCGTTTTAATTAATAGACAATCTCCATGGCAACGCTATTGGGACTGTACGAACGGTTTATTTACAGGGTGTGATTATTGCGTTATTTCGTCTGGAAACCGTTCCGTTGTTTATTAACTTTTTGTCCCACGTTGCATTGTTGGATGGATTCATGACATGGATGTTTTAACTTCACGGTGCTCACACAGACGGAAATCAACTTCTACTCGTCGCTATAACTTGTGGAGAAGGTGATTTCCCTCTGTCTGTACGTCTAGCCATGGATTCCTCTATGGTCTAGGCTAGTGCGTGATGTTATCGGTTCGCCTTGAATGACTGTGACCAAGGCTGTTCGTAGCGGACATTAACATGACAATAAACAGAAAATAGCGATCTTGTTGACATTATCTGTGTGAAATATTTTGTAAAGACATCGTTAAGAGGTGAATGATTAAAGCTTTAGGTATTTCGTCAGACTTTCATTGACATTTTAACTGGTCACGCGGACTTGTTATTGGGATAATTAACAGGTCCGCCATGCATTTTACTAGCCATTGGCCGGCAGACCAGTGTTATTTCGAACCCTGGGTAAACAAATTGTTTATTTAACATTATTTTTCATAGTTCATTCTATTAAACAAATAACTTTGAAAGGCAGTTACTCAAAATTATGTTTATCTTGACTCTAAGAGTACTGTACTTTCACTTTCCAATAACTTAGGCTTGAAATGTCCAATTTGAATGAATGACCCCTCATTTTTAAGATCACATACTCAGGTATCTGAAAATACCAATAACTTCAATTTCAAGTTTTGCTACAACTTAGCCATTTTGCCACAACATGCCTCATTAATTGTGTACTGCAGGTCCCACTTCACAAGTAGTAATCCTCATTTACAGAATGGTGTTACCACTTCACACAATTGTTTTTAATAATCAAAAGTTTAACAATTCTTAATGAAAATTAATTTTAAAGGCATTAACATAAAATGTAATGCAAATTTCATTTCCTTCTACTATATATTTTTTTAAAGTTCATTCAATTCATTCCAAGTTTTTTTAGGATTTTGATCACTACCCTGACATAAAAAATAGCTGATTAAATTAAGAAATGCATAGGTGGTTAATATTAGTAATGTTCAACTCATTTGTGAACAACAAAAAACGTATGATAAAATATCAGTTAATGGAAGTTAAATGCAGATGCAAGCATTCAATCAAATGGACAATCTTCATCTTTAACGTTTTTGGTCAGCAAAATATGTTCTAATACATGACACTATGTGTGAATTAGCCTTTTGTCGTACATTTTTAAACATAGATATTTCAAATTTACAATGTGAAACCATGTGAACCAAGATATACCAGAGCTAATAAACGTGTGTGAATGGCATTTGTGCGACAAATAAATGTGATATGCCCATATTTGGTTATAACATCATATTAGCATGCCCATTACACAAATTTGTCGCATAAAATTTGATAATGTGGATGGGAACTTAACTTTATTTGAGGAGATTTTGTTTGGATGTATAGTATAGTCTTATTGATATCATTTTTGCTGCTAGAGGCCTTTTACGAAAAGAATTTTTATTGTCGGAAACACAGTTTTCTCCACATTTGAGGTACACCACAGCAAACAGATATTTTATTGATGATGGATTTCTCTTAACCAATTAAATGCTGTAATAGAAATTGGTTAAATGACTTTTTGTTATTATTTGTTCTTTTATAGATTTGGTTTGGTGCTACTTTGTCTTGTATTTAGTGTTCTAGCCACAATTGACGAATATGAGCAGAAACTGGGTGGTTTTCTATTTTATATGGTAAGTGTTTTAATTTTATATCAATATTTTGACCTCCGCCAAAGGAGGTTATGTATTCACCGTTGTATGTCTGTTAGCAAGATTACGCAAAATGTAAGGAGTGCATCATCACGAAATTGGTGGAATGGTAATAAGAAAGAGATGCACATATTTGAATTCAATTTTTTCTTATTTACAATATGGATAGCATTGGTATGTATTTTTTTATGTATTTTTTTATGTATAAAGTTTAAAATGTAAGGCAAAACTTCTGAGGATGTGTCCTCCCATTGGATGTGTCCTCCCATTGAATGTGTCCCCCATTGGATATGTCTCCCCATTGGATGTATCCTCCCACTTGATATGTCCCACCCCCTTATTGGATGTTTCCCCTCTTGGATTCTCCCCCTGGGGAGTCGAAACTGCACAAGGAAATCTTGTACTATGTTTAACAGCCTTGACTTAGCCTATCTTTTCCCGTGAAAATATCAAAATTACATTTTGTTTTAATCTTCTTCGTTATCACATTTAAAACAACTGAAATTACCGCAGCCACTAATTGAATACCCATAAATTACTGTAAATGACACATTTTATTGCCATTTTTGAAAATTGACTTGAGCAGAGTTGTTCAAATCCAACAGTAAGTTTTGATGGGTTTTTGACTTATACAATTATTTTCAAAATCTAATGCAATTTATTTGAGCTCTGCTTATTATTGTATTTTAATTGGTTTAACAATACAATTATATTTATGTATAGAATGATCTTTGAAACTAATTATAAATTGTTTCTCATATTATTACATTTAAAAATAAAAATAGCAAAGGTTGATACTTTTTATTATTTAATTATTTGTTATAAATTTTATTTTATATCTCAAATTATGTTTCTAGTATTGTTGAAATAGCACAAATTAGAATTTTAAATTATGGATTAGAATAAATGTCAGTACTAATGTAATTCAATGATTGGAAAAGAAATGTGAGAAAATCTACAAATTGCTCATTAAGAAAATTATCACCAAAAGCATTAAACAAATTTTTGAATAAAAAGTATAGGCCCATGCGTATTGTACATATGTTAATATATGCGAGTGTAAACATATTTGCGCACTCATACACATGTATACATATATGCATAGGTACTGTGTGTAAATGCTTTTTTGCTTAGTTCTTATATTCATGTTATAGTTTGTAGTTTATTGTACAGAAGTGTATTATAAAGGTAGGAGAATAACTGATAACTTGCAGTGTCATTGTGCTGAATTTCCTATGGGCATGATCACCTAGCGGCCATAAAGAGGCACTTATAGTAGTTACATGTTCATATCATTCCACAACGATTGGCTGAAATGAATGATAGTATCAGGGTAACCCCTTACTCTTCCGAAAGATGCAATGGGTTATTTAAAGTGCACACAAGCCTGATGTGTACACTGGACCTTAATTTTAATTCCTTATCCTAGAAGACTTGGTTCTACCAACCAAACCCTGGTTGAAGAGTGATGCTAAGGCTGTAATTAGTGGCACCCATGCCTTACTGCTGGTCACTTGAATCGCCCATATGGTTTACAGGTGGGCAGTCCACCTCTGGAGCAACTGCCTACCCTCTACCCATATGTACAGAACTGTTAGGCCCAATTGATTAAGACATTAATGTATTTTGATTTTTATAATGTATTTCAATTTTTGTAAACCTGTTATTCTATTATTCAATTTGTATTTTTAAACGACACACCACTCATCAAGTTGAGCGCCATCGATGTATATGGTGAATGTTAATATAAAGTGTGTACAATGCTTGTTACATTCCACTGCAATCATCATCCACATGATCAAGAACTGCCATCACGGCATGAAATACATTCATTGTAAATTGAAGTGTACATGCAAGAGTGTTGTTTACAAAGTATGTCACTTGTACTCCATTCTAGATACGTGATAAAATAATAATTTACGTCCTAATAAGTGCCTCTGACTAGTCTCTGAAGTGCGATTATAATAATTGAATAGTATTTAATCAGTCTACACATTTAGATGCATATATTCATTTTAATATTTTGTAATTGTTAATACAGTTTAATTAATTTAAAAGTGCTGCTTTATTATTGAAATTGAAGCAATGTTTTTATCGCCTCCATTTTGGATTCATTTTCAATATGAATCAGCATTTAAACGCTTTCTGCCATGCAGGAGTCCTGCTCACGGTTATTACAAGTGCGCTATAATGGAGCAAAAACAATAACAAATTAGGAATTCAGTACCAATCCCTAGCATACTGTAAATTGATCACCGTAAACCATGTTATTGGAAAAATATTGGCTACCAGCATGAATTTTGATACTGGAATTATTAATTAACAATTAATGAGATGAGTACTGCACTGAAATACTATCAATCATGTATATTGATAACTATAATCAAGTTAAATTAATATACTTACAGTGCTATTGCTAAGAGATGTATATCCAAGTCCGTAGAAAAGAAATGAAATCTCTTGATGAATTATGAATGAAGATAATGCAGTGCTATAACTCAACTTAATTATAATAGTGACAAGGAGGAGGATCATGATGATAGTGATGGTGGGGGTGCAGGAGATGATGTTGATATTAGGGAGCATTCGATTTGCACGACGACACGACGCTAAACCGGCTTCACTCATGCATGACCATCCTACCGGGCGCCCTAATTAGACAGAATAAATGTTAGTACTAATATAATTCAATGAGTGGAAAAGGAATGTGAGAAAATCTACAAATTGCTCATTAAGAAAATTATCACCTACAAAAGTATTATAGAAAAATTTTGAATAATAACTATAGGCCCATGCGCTAGAACGGATTCACTCATGCATGACCATCCTACCGGGCGTCCTATGTTCTCTGTATACGTAGATGTCTCCAAATTGAGTACTAGATTCCATGCGACCGCTAGAACTCAACGTTCTCGAATACGCAGATGGCTTTATGTGACATCGTTACATTCTACGTCCTACCGTCGTCGTGCAAATGAAAGCTCTCTAATAAAACAGGTGATCATGTTGATCATGTTTAATGATAAAGATGATGATGAGATAAACATACTTAGATATTTAATTGTAAAGATGATAATAATGGTGATATAATGATATATAATAATGAAAGATAATTATAAGGTAATTGCCAATGAGAATAGTGATAGCTGACATAATATTAAAGGGGTCTTCAATTTTTTTTTTTTTTTATGTTTAAGAAAGTACTAAACATTTATTTGTTGTGACCTTTCACATCCCCAAAATTGTACATTTTAAAATAATTGTTGTCATTTGATATTGTTTTATATTTTTTGTTATAGAATACACTGTGACTCCTTCACCTTACAATATGTTTTGCATTTTGATGACAAAAAATTGGATGACCATAGTATAGTAATAATGGTGAAGATGAACATTATAATTATAACATTGAAGATGTTTAATAATAATTGTGATGAATATAATAGTTGGTCATGATGAATGATAATGATGATGTTAGTCATCAATCATTTCTCATAAATTTTAATAGGAGTCCTTATCTAATAAGTAATATGTTTACAAATTGTTCGTACTCCAGGCTACATGTAGGTATTTTATCATTCAACTTATTTTACCAGTAATTAAGGAGTGCACACTAGCATTCACTTGCCAATAGGATTCTGAATATATTATTGTTACAAATTATGTGTAATAAATTTTAATACCCAATAGTACCTGTACTTTGGATTAATTATATATTTATATATGGATACCAGCGGTATATTAAATATAAGTAATCCATAATAATTATTCATTGTCATTAAATTCTGTGCATGTAGCAGAAATAAAGCTTTTAAATATTGATTATTAAACACTAAGTTAATTTTTATTTATAAAAATAGCATATTGTCTAAAATAGGACGATGAATCAACAACATTATATTTTTGGTTCTTTTATTCAAAATACATTTATATGTAATATAATTTAAATATTCAATATACAAAAATATACTAAGGGATATAGAAAAAAAACTATAATAATAATTATATTTATTTATGGAGCACAAAAATGCATAAAGCCTCTAGGCTCTAGACCTTTGATTTGATGAACTAAATTAGTTTATGACAAGCTCAAAAAATGTAATCATGACAGTATACTGTAAACTGAATTTAAGCACAAATTAGTTAAATTACAAAAAAAAATTGTTTTGGTTGTGGGGGGGTGTGGGTGTTCACTGGTGTTGTTTAGAAATGCTCGACCATCAGGAACTAGCTTATTTTGAAGCGCTCATCTCTTTATCTTTTCCTTTATTTTATTTCTCATTTTGTTGGGGAAGGGGAATAGCCCCTGTTGCCACCCTCTGGATCTGCCCCTTCTGTAACAACACCTAAATATTAACAGACGACCTTTATTTTTGCATTGCAGGAAATTTTTCTTGTTCTTTCATTTGGAATAGAGTATTTCATTCGCCTTTGGTCAGCAGGGTGTAGAGCTAAATACCAGGGTTTAGTCGGTCGCTTCCACTTCGCACGAAAGCCAATATCAATAATAGGTGAGTGTTTGATATTCATTTTCTTGTGTAGTAGGCCTAGACTAAATGTGTGCCAATATTCCTTCCCATCTCCATACACACACACTCATATACACACACCCATGGACATAGGCTGGTGGGGGTGGGGTGGTGTGAGGTGCAGGCAACATATTACTTCCTCTAAAGTAGGTTGAAATATTTTGAAAATTACCAGTAATTTTTCAATTGAATAAGGATATGGTTCCTCCTTCTCAATTTCCCCACTCCCTAGCCCAAAGTTAGCCTACTCCCCCTACATTTAATTTAATAATAGGATGGAGTGGAAGGGTTCTGTTGCCATATTATGAAAGTCTGTTGGAAAATATAAAGGAAGGTGATATTATTTTTATTATTTCACACATTAGTTTATTTCTTCAATAATTTAATTTGTCATAAAATTTCCAGCAAAAATTATGTAGGCCTACTGATCTTAAAATGTAGGTGAGCATGGGATGAGTAATATTTCTTCCCCTACAAAGTAGGCCTACAATAGAAATTGTTGGCGAAATGTTATGTTATGCACATTATTGCAATGTTGTTTTGTGGATTGATACATGAATCATATTGTTTGTTGTCATGCTAATTCATGAATTAATTAAATTATAAATTGTCACTCCTGACTAAGGTGATTCCATTGAGCAAATGTCGGTCTAATGTATTTATGCAAATTATTTTGGTTGAATGACATCAGAAAATGCAACTCTTAGATTATTATTGATACTGTAATTTAATCTAATTTTGTCATACACACGGAACATCAAGCTCAGATACACGATCTTCGCCACAGCGCTTATTGTTCGTCAGTGTGCTTTATTCTTTGAATAATGCAAACGTTTTTGTAGTTCAGTAGGATTGAAAAAAATTAAAAAATTATTTCACAATTGGAAAATCAATGAGGAGATATACTATGCTGAACAAATGATCAAAGTCTACACACTGCCTCATGTTTCCTAAATTTATCCTGCTTCAAGTATAGATGTCAGACTAAGGGTAATGTTTGAAATATGTTGTCTTAAAAGCTTAAAGTCAGGCTCAGGAAAAAATATTTGATATCTTATACAAATGAATTTTCTACACTAAAGGAGTGTTTGACGAAAAGTCTGGAACTGTTAAAAAGATACACATTTTATAATAATTAAAATCTGAAGGTAAAGGGTGGTGATTCCCCTTTCCCTCCCAGTTTTTAAATACTGTATTTATTTGAATAAATGCCCCCATCAGAGCCTCATTTAGAATAAATGCCTCCCTCGAATATATGTCCTGGGGTGTTTATTATTTCCTCAAATAATGGAAACAACATCATTCTGAACACATTCTAGTAATGTTCTACTCTAGTAGAATTACATTTTTTTTCTAAACTAGTTGTGATCAATAATCTTCATTACAAAATAATGCATTTTGATGGTAATTACGTGTTGTAGTTCCATATTTACAGTAAACGTAAGGGGCATTCATTTCAGAATATCCATTTACACCAAAAAATGTCTCCCTCAAGTAAACGCCCCTCTCTCCCCATCCAAAAAAAGAAAACTCCTCAACAATAAATACCCCGGGGCGTTTATTCGAATAAATATGGTATTTAAAAATCAGTGTCTTGCCGATCACAGGTGTTTTTTGTTTTTTTTTGTTTTTTTTTTGTAAAACGCGTATAAAATATTTTGTATATGTACCTGTAAATTATATGGTATCTAAAATGTATTGAACATTGACAAAGTACAATAGCCTTTAACATTAGTAACAAACCAGAAGATTTTTAGAATTTGTGAAAGAATCATGGTCAAAACATGTTAGGTGCAATTACTATGGTAATAAGGATCATCCTCTTTTAAATCTGTTTTGCCGACTTTCTGATTTGTCATGTTTTCATTCTCTGTGAGGTATTGCTTCCATTGATATAATTTGGCATAATTCTTGTTTATAGCATTATAATTCAATTCAATTTTATTCAAAGCTACAAATACCATTAAGGACCAATATATGCAAAAATTACCGTACATTGCACAAAAGTACACAATACATTTAGAACTGCGAAAAAAAGAATATATATTATACACACACACACACACTTATATATTATATATATATACGTGTGTGTGTGTGTGTGTGTATTATACATGTGTGAATAGTGAATTTTAGCCTTATAAATTACCATTTTGGTTACATGACTTTTCTCATATTAATTCATGCCATAATTACTTATTTCTAAAATTTAACTTATTGTAGAGGAGGAATGTTTTATTTTAGTGATGGAAAATTTAAATGGGGTCTTCACCAAGTTCTGTTTACAATATTCACCACCGATAATACTTGAGTAAACTTCTTTTAAAAAAAAATTAAACTCCTTTTTTTTTTAAATTGAAGACTAAATATTACTCAGATTCTTATTACTAGATATCGGTAGAATCAATTTTATTTCACTGTCATGCGATTTCCTTTTGAAAAAGTCACTCTGATAATAATAAAAATATGGTTTTTTTCTAATTATATATATTATGGGATTGCACATTGACATATATAAATGATTAAGAGCAAAGACAATCTAAGGAGATAACTTGGAAGGAAAATCCAATAAACTTGTGAAATTTCCATAGCCTCCAACAGGTACTTTATACCTATGCAGACACTTTCATTTATTGCAACTTTATATTTCCACCACAGAAATAAGGTGGATTTGAAAGAAAGCAGAATTTTTTAATTTTCATGTTTTACATTTATTCATAATTCAATTTTTAAGCTGTCCTGATATCAGTGATATATTCATATTTATATTCAATTTTCTAGAGCTCTGCCAATATCTTTTTTTGTATTTTTAAATGTGATCTGCCCTGAGTCATGTTTATACCCAAAGTGATATAACAAAATTATGTAGACATATCATTACAGTGTATTTAAATAATTTTTTCTCAATTACTGTTCAAATATTGTGTTAAGCCAAGCGTGATTCCATGGTGACTACAATACAACGAGGTGCGTGATGATCGTTTTCTACGGAAATATTAAACGAGAATATACAAATGTGTGTGTTTGCATTTTGAGTTGAAGTGATTAAAAAGTACACATTTTGTTACCTTATTTAAATAAAGTAATTATTCCATATGAAATTAAAAATCATTTTACCTTTTGGAGATGATTCAGGAAATACACAAAATATTTTTATATAATATTTTCAGATCTATTTGTAGTTGTAGCTTCAACTGTAGTTTTGGTTTCAACTTCAGAAGGAGAAGTATTTGCTGCTTCAGCAATAAGGTATTGTATATGTTTACACCCATATATAGTACCATGTATGCATACATACTGTATTTCTACACATCCATATGCAAACCCATATACATATTTACTGATATACATTTAGCCACATTTACACACCCATGTACAATTTCACATACCATTATATATCCTCATTCACACGGCCATATGCCCATACCCTCATTTATAAACCCATATATATATATATCAGTTGCCTGACGATCGCAATAGCGTGAAACTCCGAGTAGCAACATTCTGTTCCAGCGACCTCCAGTTTTATATATATATATATATATATATATATATATATATATATACTCATATACAAAAACCCGCATTTGCATGCCTCTATACATACACACATTCACACACCCATATTCATACCCATGTTAACACACCCATAACAATATTGTTTATATCCGCATATGCATACCCTCATTTTCAGACCCATGTACAAATATATACTCATACAAAAAGCTACATTTGCATACATACACGCATTCACACACCTTTATCCATATCCTCATTCATATTCATATACTCTTATTTAAACACCTCTATACATGAGCATATTCACATACTCATGCATAACAACACCCACACTCATGTTCACACAAACACACACACACACACACACACACCCTCAGTCACAAATCCATACATATCCATTACTCTCAGTAAATCTGGTAGATTAATTCACCTAAAGTTAAGACTAACCTGTTTAACAATTCATTCATACCATCAGCAGTCAGACTTTTTAATATGCAGTTCAATAGATAAACCATATTGTACAGTTTATCTTGCCTTTCCATCACACTCAGTAATTCTTATAAGCAATTTCTGTTGTGCAACTTTTATGTATTTTAATTATTTTTCTATATTAACTAATATGAGTCTATTTAAGGATTCATATCTCATAGCTGTATTTATACCGTTGTGACAATAAGTTCTATCCTATCGTATACCCACATTACATACTCATGTCTGTTTATCAGATTCGTCTGAATTGAACATAATATGACCTTAAACATACGACCTTGAACATGTGACCTTGAACATAGTAATGTGGCCTTGGAATGTTTCTTCCTTGCCTTGCTATTCATCATTACTGCATTGATAATGATGCAGTATTATTCATTTACTTCTGCTTTCTAGAGGTGTACGATTTTTACAAATTCTCCGTATGCTGCATGTTGACCGTCAAGGTGGATCATGGCGTCTTTTATGGTCCGTTGTCTATGTTCATCGACAGGTAATTTAGTTATTCCTAATTTAAATTAGTCAGAATTGATAGATTTATCGACTACATTATTTTGCCAAGGTAATTGAGTTTAATTGATGTTAATGTTAATACTGTAGATCTGCACCTTCCTTCACTAAGTATACAGGCATATGTCAGATGACAACATTATCATGATCATTGTCATCTTCCTTTTAATCAGTCATTTTCATCATTATCATTATCAATATCACAATCATCATCGTCATCTTCTGAACCATATCTTTCTTTTTCTCCAACCTGTCGTTACACTAGCTAGCTAATGGTTAGTTTACAAAATTAAAGATGAAATTCTGCCAAATATTAATTAATTAATAATATGAAAAATGATTATATTAGTAAAAATGATAATTAAAATAACTATACTCCAGAAAGATTTTCAAGATCAAAAGACTTATGCTTAAGAGATTTAGACAGAACTAAAGTATATTAAATTATTATATTTTTATTATAATGAATACCTTTATCATTGAAGCAATTTTGGGTTTTTTTTGCTTATATTTCAGGAATTAATAACAACATTGTATATAGGTTTTCTTGTTTTAATCTTTTCATCATATTTTGTATATCTGGTTGAACGAGGTCCCCCTCAAGGGGATTTTAAGACCTATGCAGATGCCCTTTGGTGGGGTGTGGTGAGTAATACTATTTCCTACTTATAAAAATAACTCCAGAAAATCAAATTATGCTTAATATGATTATATGTTAATTTTATATACAGCATCATAACAACAAGGTCACTATTCACTTCACATTTTATCCTGGTCATTGGATCTAATGGTTATGGATTACGTACTTGGTCAGTCATAAAATTTAGACATTTTAGCTTTCATGTAAGCATGAATTCGAGTCCCTTCCAAATATAAATTAAGAATAATAATAAGGTAATGAATTGTAAGAGAAAAAAATGGGTGGGGGGGTGTTGGTGGTGGGTGTGGGCTGGCCGTGGGAGAGACTATTATAGGTAAACAAATTGAATCACTTGACAAAGTTAATAGGAAATGGGATTATAATAAAGAGTAAATGTGTTACAGTTCATAATTAGTTCATTCAAAATTATTTTGTGCCCAATAAAGCCATTTGAAACTTGAAAAAACATTTCATATTAATGCATAAAATAGTAATAATACCAAGAATAAAATAAGTTACAAATTAAGAATGCAAAATACTGCCCAATAAAGCCATTTGAAACTTGCAAAAATATTTCATATTAATGCATAAAATAGTAATAATACGAAGAATACAATAAATAACACATAATGTTGATTGACCTGGAGCACTATCATACATTGACATTTAAGTTATCTGAAGTCAAAGGCACATGCAAAGAAGAAGTTAAGATAACTAATATGGCTTCACAGGGTACTATATAGTCATTATTAATGTTAATGAGTTGTTGTATACTACAGACTACCTTCTTTTTCACATTTATTTTTTTTCTTTCCTTCAGTCATCTGTAAGTGGTTGAGTATTTGATTCATAGCCATTTGATCTAATAAGCAGGGTAGTAGTGTAAAATGCATAGAGGCTATAGTTATTATTAATTTTATTTATAGCTTGCTTTAACTTGCGGGCTCGTAACCATAGAAAGTTATCAATGAGTGGGTGGTTTTTACTAATACTAGTAATTACTATACTACTAATAATAATAATATAAAACAAAGGTCACATTTGTTTTCCTATTTCTCGTTTTCTTTATATCAATTAAGCTGTTTGGATTACCTTTACACAACCAGTTTCTTGTTCCTTATAATTGCGCATGAAAATTATCTTACCTAATGTAGCTATTGTTCAGCATTTTTATAACATTTTTTTAAGGACAACATAAGCACCAGTGAACAATCATATTCATCGTTTTATTAAAGTGCAAAAGTCGATTGTGTTTATGGTTTTTGTTTTCTAGGTTACAGTCACGACGATAGGATACGGTGATACTGTGCCCTCAACGTGGGCGGGAAAAGCTATAGCGAGTTGTTTCTCAATATTCGCCATATCTTTCTTTGCTCTTCCTGCAGTAAGTAAAGCTATTAAATATTCATCTCAAAGAAACACGTTCATGCTATCGTGGAGTTTAATGAGGGAATTGTTCAGGGGTAGGGCTATACCTACACACATAGGTAGTAAGTAAGTAGGTCTAGTAGTAAATCCTTGCTGAGCCAATAGGGCCCATATGGCTGGAGCTTATCCCCAATTTCAAGTTGTGTGAAGTGGATGTTGCTTTCTCTAATTTTTCTATTATTTCATTTACCTTTATGTGAATGAGTGGTAAGTAATTTAATATTTATTCAGAGTGGTTTAATATTTATGGAGTTTAGTGAGGCTGCAATCCCAAAGTTGTTAAGTGGCCATTATTATTTTAACAGATTTATTTAGATATCTGGTTTGTATTAATTGCTTTCTGAAAGTTTTAAATTCTCTTATGCTTATATCATTAAAAACATGGAGAAATATACGCAACTTTCCACCGTCCCTTATTCCCTGGGTAGTATAAATAAGACTCAACATGGATCAAACAACCTAGCAGACACTCATACTGTACACTTGGTTAGAGAGCGAGAAAGATTAGAAAGTGCCTAGCCCAAGGGACTTGAGTGACATGGAAATCATGAGAATTGAGCTTAGTGATAATGTACATGATTGCAATCTCAAACAGCATCTGTTACAACAACCGCTTCCACAATAAATTCAACTAGACAATACTGTAGTGATGTACACCAGAGGAAAAGTACATTACCTCCATGCTTTGACCAATTGGCTCTGAATATCCAAGGCTGTGAAATTAGGGATATAGGCCTACATGCTACAGATGGCTTATTGCTATTTGTTAATATTATTTGTATGACTGCATGCCATGTTTACAAGCTTTGTTTGCGCCACTTGTTAATATTAATATATATTTGCATGTGACATAAATTGAAATTGAATTGAAATGTAATCAAAAATGTTATTATCAAGAGATGTCGGCTGTGCAATAGTGTGAATATTTAGGATTGATTAATTTAATTTTCTTGTGTGAATGTACTCAAGTATAACACATGAAGCTTAAGACTTTCCTGTTGGTTTCAGTCTTTCTGGTGATGAATTGAGCTGTACGCCGCAAGATTTTCTCTGTGTTCTTTTCTTAAGGGGAAGCGTCATGTTCTTTAATGTGCACAGGGGATCAATGGCTTAAACCTCTCTTTCAAATATATTGTAAAGCTTATATAACAACCCTGTAGTGCTTGCATGAGTCAACACAATTATTGATAATCTTGTTAATATTATGCATGATTACTAATTCTTTATTAATCCCATCTTTAATCTAGGGGATTTTAGGATCTGGATTTGCATTAAAAGTTCAATCAAAACAAAGACAGAAGCATTTCAGTCGGCAAATTCCCGCAGCAGCTAGTCTTATCCAGGTGAGAAATAAAAGCTTGCTAAATCAATTATCAAGAGAATTTCATTCTGTAATTTTCTGCTTCCTCAATCTATCAAGATTCAAGATAATTTTATTGTCTGGAAAACTCAGAAATTACATTCCACTGGCAGTGTTACACGTGTAACATATACGGTAATAAATAAAAGATAACTAAGGATATAAGAATATAAAATTATAAGGACCAAACAATATCTATTCAATGCTTTTAATACTTTAAATATAGATATAAGTTTGTATCCATTGAAAGAATTTTTTTATTTATTTGTTCTCATTCTAATTGGAAATCAGAAATTTGGTCTGGGGTCCTGGAGATTTGTGACAGCCACAAGGCAGTTCTGTATATAACAGACACATACAGATACAAACATTGTCCTTAATTCAAATTTGTATGTTTTGTTTCCTTTGTCTAGATGTGAAATAAAAAGATATTAAAAGAATAATCACAAAATTCATTCATGTTTTTGTAAATTTAATAGTGGAGGAATTTTTTTTTAATAACAATAATTTCCTTTAAGCTTTCCACAAAAGGACTTTTGTTAGATGACTACAATATAACATCTATCTTATTCTCATTTCAATTGTCTCAATCTCTCTGAAATTACAATGTTGTAAATTTGTATTTCAAAGAGTTAATTACTATTATTATTTCAATGTTGATATGTTTTTATATGAACTTGACATTACCTAGATTTTTCTATTTTATGTTTGTGTTTTTGACTCGCAAGGGTATCATAAAATGAAATACAGTTTGAAGAGCACATGCCGTATATCATAGATAATGTTTAAATTAATGAAGAAGCCTCTATTTTCCACATTTATCATTCATTCAATTTCCGTCATTGTATATTCAATGTATATAAATCAAATCAATTTATTTACCATCTCTATAAAAATATTAATTGAAAATGATAATAAAAAATCTTTATTTAGACCATAGATTGTAAATAGCTTTAGGTTGATATGATCAAATATGAATTTATTTTTATACAAGATATAGAAATAGCATTAAAAAAAATTTTTCAAATACATTTTTGCATGGAGCTATAAATACATAATTTGTTTGGAGCTGCTTTATATACAATCAACATGAATACAAATTCATCATATTGTATTTCTAAAGACATGGTAAGCACTGTAATGATAATAATAATAATTTTCGCTTATATAGTGCATTATAATATTACATAATCAATGCAGGTGTTGATACAGCTGTGGGATAAATTATTACACAATTTAAAGGGTAGATACAATGTTACTGGTAAATGCAGTATCTGTAATTTTAATTTTTTGTTATATAGGAAGATTGAATTACTAATCTTATGGTATAGATGAGTTGTTTCCTAATGAACCATAGCCTGCCAGCAACTTTTGTGAAAAATTAATGGTTTTGTTTGTGGTTTGGTTTGTGTCTTCAAGTGTCTCTGGAGAGTATATGCAGCTGAAAAATCATTCAACTCGGAAGCGACGTGGAAAATACATCTGACTCAAGTGAGCGGTAACGGCATTACCACGGAGTCGCCTTCGCGTAAGGCTGGACTACTTAAGAAACAAAAAAGCTGGCTAAAAGAAGCACTTGGCTTTAATTTTGAGATGTCTTCACGGGGGTCACCGAAAGCAGGGTCCGTCAGTGAAGTCGGTGAAGGGTCAACAGCTTCTGGGGCTGATGTCGATGGTTCAGTAGGTTTGTATGCAATAGAGTTAATTTGCGCACAAAGATTTGTTGGTAAAATAAATAACCTTTAAAGAATAACCTGCTGCTATAAATATGATTATTAAAGTCTATTACTAACATTTATGTGCTCCTGAATTTGATTTATGATTCTGCAAATTATTTTAATCACTGGTGTGGAGAGAACATTCCTTGTGAATTTCTGCCTAATGGTATATCAAGTATTAGATACACATGTTTACTGTGCTTCATCTATACACTGTATATGTTATATATTGTGTTTTTGAAAATCGTATAATTTAAATAATGTGAATGGTGGCTATTTTATCTTTACGATCACCTGGGTTTAAAATTGTTTGCCACCCTAAAAATCAAGAGAAAAAAATCAAAAACTCAAATTCAAATTCCTAATTAAAGATAGTGTCCCCTGAAAATTGCAAAAAATCATAAAAAAATAATTTTGAAATTGACTTATTTTGCAGTAACATATAAATTATGAAGTTCAGCATAGACATTATTGAATTAAAAAAATTTGTGTACCCTAATTTTCATGCTGGATAATGATAATAAAAATGACTGGAACTGTTCCTCATTTTTCGCTGTAAAATTATGGGTAAACATTTTTTTTTTAAATACACTAATTTCTATGTTCAAGTTGATAATTTTGATGTTACTTCAAAATGAGCAGGTTAATTTCAAAATTAATTTTTCTGATTTTTGCATGGGACAACAATACATATTTAAAAGAACTGCATAAGTTTTACATTTTCACAAAAAAAATATTGGTCTTTTTCTTTTGCCATTTAGTGGTTGTCATTCAGTTGTTAATCGGCTATCATCATTTTTCCTTACAAGATGTTCGGCCGATTGCCATTTGGTTCTTTTTGTAGTGATTATTAATAATTTATGTTGTTTACCCTTGTTTGTTCACTAATCCATCTGTTCATTTTTCTGTCTCTTCTGATGTAACCTGTCATCATTCTCTCCATTCTTCTTTGTGTTGTTTTGAAGAAAACAATTTATAAGCATTTGTAAATTTGCTGCCAGAACTGTTTAGTGCATGTGAAAATACAGATTAAAGATGTTCAGCAAAAATTTTTCTTTAGAAATTCAAAATTGCAGTTGCTGATTATGAGTTAATTATGTTTTGGAACGATTTATAATCTACAGTATTCATTGACTTTTTTTCAGTAGCCGGAATTTATTTAAGTAGGCCATATCTATTTTGAAACTGGAACAGCAATTTGATAAATTTGTCAGTCCAGCTTAAACCCTACATCTGGGATTACAACAGAATATGAAAAAATATGTATAGTGGATTAAAGTTAAATTAGAAATACCTGTTGGGAGAAAATTGACATTTAAAAATAACTGTGAACTAGTTTATTCTAGATATCATTAAACCTCTTAGTGCTCAAGAAATTAATAATTCACATTAAATACTTTAAAGCCAAGCTCTAAAGAAAAAACGTTTCTTGTATATATTGTACTACTGATTTTTCTAAAATATGAACAGGGTATTGGGAAAAAAAAAGAGGAAATTGTTCAGAAGATACAGATTTTTGAATATTTAAAAACTAGTGGAAATGGGTGGTCATGCCCCTTCCCCCTCCCCCATCTTTTAATATTCAAAAATCTGTATCATATTAACTGTTTTTTTATTAGGCCCCTTTCAAATGGACTTTGCCGCAGTATTGCGGTAAACATGCCAGCATAATAACCGGTCTATACCTTTTCACACAGCGTCTTTGTTACCACAATATTGCGGTAATCTTACGCTTTTCTGTCTGAAAGGGTCCTATAGAATGGCGTAATATTGGCTGTTTAAATACTACTACGCAGTTGTTTTCAACTTTAACCCTGATTGTTTATGCATAAATGCACACGCCAGCTTGATTGCCGCAATATCGAGTAGACCGTTTCAGTAGACCATTAATTAATATTATTGTTGTTTATATAATTTATATTATAATAATAGAGTACCACAGTTGTGTCGTCACAATGCCAGGTGTTGCCCTCTGTCGCCAACCAGACGTTGGTTTACCGTTCATTACGCCTGGATGACTTCATAGGCTTTCTGGAATAGGCATTTTAAAATCTAATATTTTACCATCAAAAGGTACTAAAAAACAAAAGCTTGCATTATATTTGTTATCGAACTCACATTTAATCATCTATTAAAATTTACAAAGAAAATCTAAGATACAATCTTAATAATTACATTAGGAATTGGAACCAATGGTTTGCCAGTGGAAAAAATGGCGTCCGGTTGAACTCATTTTGCAACGATAGCAATGGAGTAGTATCATGTCGTATCGTGACGTAACACTGTAGTACTCTATACGCAAATTATTATATTTAAGCGGTCTTTGCTTGCAATGTACTGTCATCATATCTACATTACGTATTTCTTTACCTCTTATCTAAGCTGGTAGAGTATCCGAACGGTAATCGCAAGGTCTTGGGTTCGTATACCAATGGGGGCACACATTTTTTTTTCAATTATCATCATGTCCAATGTAATTGTTTAGTCAATGAAGATTTATTGCATTATTTGTTTTAATAACAAGTCTTCCAATAGATTAGTTTTGATAAAAGAAATGTGTGAATTATTCTCATTTTAATGTACTGTATTTCCCTATACTTTTCAATGTAAGTTTGTATTTAGGTCTGTATTGTTTTTTTTTTTAGGGGGGGGGGTTTCTCTGAGACAAGTTTTTTACTTCTAGAAGGGAATAATGATTTGATCTATTATTTTCTCTTCACTGTCATTACCAATATTTGTTTTTGGTATCATTCCTATATTATCTAAATAAATATATCTGAATGAATAAATTTTATACATATAGTATTAATACTTAAATATATATTAATTTCTATATACTTTACTTAATAATTCAAAACTTTGGTGTGATTATTTTGGCATAAAGGTTATTTAACAAAAGTCCATGGCAAGGCCAAGAAAAAGAAAAACTCTTATTGAATCCCTTTTTAACACTTTTTCACTATATGCATAAGCCATTAGGTAGCTTGTGATTTTAACTAGAATTAGAATGTAAGCATTAATCACATGACCAACATAGAAGTACTTCATCCCCATATCCTTCCCCCTCCCCTCCCTGCTTATTTTTTTCCAAATAAATATATATGTTAAACAATTTTATTTTTCTAATGGTCCTTGTTGTATTTTTATCTATGCGGAGTAGAGTTGTTTTTAGTGATGAGTAAAAGTATTGAAATTGTACAGGATTTGGCCCAAGGTCATGGATTACAAGGCAAACAAAAAGCCCATCCATTACAACTTAATTCTGACTTAACTGTATTTCTTTCTATGAAAAATAAGGTAAATCTTGAATCAATAACAACATTGCTTTCCACAGGCACCCTTGATGAAAGCAGATACAATGAAATAAATCTGTCATCAATGAGATATTGATGTGCAGTGTTTCATGTTTTTGTTTCCCCAGGAAAACAAGGTCGTTCGAAGAAAGACAGTTACACTCCTTCACAGACTGTTTCAAATGCTTCAATAGCAGATGCAGATGCAGATTTCAAAGTCGAACCTGTTACCAAGTATTTTGAGTACTTTAATTTTTTTTGGACAAATTAATATACATTTTAGTGGCACACATTCAACAACTGTTGTTTTATTGGGTCTTTTCTATGTCTTACTGTGGTTGGTTATCAAGTACTGATATAAATCTTATATAATGCATTTGTTAATGATAGATTATTTACCATAAAAGGAGATTTTCATTGGGAATATTTTTACATTTTATTCATAAATTTCAAGTTTATATAAATTTTTCATCTATATTCTTATTACTTTATGAAGATTGAAGTTATTATCGCCTGTAAAATCTTTGGATTTATTATTTATTTAATATTATATTTTATATTGTTCATGAATTTCAAACTTTTTCATCTATATTCTTATTTCTTGCTTTATGAAGATTGAAGTTATTATCACCAATAAATTTGTTGGCTGACTAGAAACAGTAAATTTTATTATTATATAATTTATACTCTATTTCTTACCATGTCCACAAACAAATATGTTCTTGTACAAATTAGAATGCTGAACCTATTTTTTACACATTATATCAAGTTTGATTTTTAAACAGAAATAATCATAGGTTTAAGATAATACCATAGCAAGTCTACATATCAAATTTTAAAATGCAAAGACAATTAAGTATGATTTATTATGAATATATCTTATAATTCTAATTTTTTTCATTTCTTCAAGTCATAAAGGCAGTTAATGCCCTCTATAATTCTAGTCGGTCTAGTTCCTGAATATCCTCTTTTGTGCAATTAAAAACACTCTCTTTTAGAGCGAAACCTAAAGTGATATTTAATGGTTTACTAACGAGATGTGTAGGGATTTTTTCAGCAGTCTCTGATGCATTGTCTGTATCTCTTAATGTTGATAAGTATTATTACAGATAAGCTGCACAATCATTATAAGATGAAATATATGCTTACAAAAGAAAACTAAATCAGGTTACAGATGCCTAGAGTTCTCAAAAGCAAACTCAATCATTGTTGGATTTTTTTTTTCAATTTTAATATAACATATACAGTACAAATGCAGCTCTGTTTCTAATTAAAGACCCCTCAAATTATAGACCACCTCAAAATAAAGAGCACTTTTCTATGTTCCCAAATTAACAAATTACTTTTGTATTTTTTATTCTAATTAGAGACCAAAGCTGATAAAGAATATGGTCCCAACTATGGTCTTTAATTGGAGTTAGACATGTACAGGGATATATAAATATACAAATACTGTACAAGAATTGGTAATTTATGAAGTTGGTGGGGTTGGGAATAAACAGTTGAAGTCTTAAGATAAATTATAAAGCAAAATCATAATTGATCAAACGATTTTGACAGACTGCTTTTGGGTGATATACTGTACTGTAGGTTTACTGGTACATACCATAAACTTATTTCTGCAAGTATTATTAAAAAACTCTGCTACTAGTTTTAGATTACCAGAAATAACCTCATACATATTATATTCTCTTTACCATACAGATTAACAGAAACTCACAAAGTTGCTATTCGTGCAATTCGCAAGATCAAATATCTAGTAGCAAAGAAAAATTTTCAGGTGAGTTATGTACAATTGACACAAAAAACTGTATAACTTGGTTTTTTGCTGATGTACCGTATATTCCGGTTTATAAGCCGCTCCCCCCCCCCAAAAATTAGGGCGCGAAATATCACGATTTTTTGTGTTACCTGTGTATAAGCCGCACCTATTTTTAAGCTCCAAACCGTTCCCATAATGTTAAGTTTTTAATTATTTTGAAACATTGACATTATTTATAAATGTTCACATAAAGAAATTTCATCTTTTTCAGCCGATTATTAAACAACAAACAACTGGAATGCGTGTAAACTGCTGGCTACTGCCATGTTATCAACGTATTCTTGCTCTAGGCAGCCCTGGGGAAATCCCCATTTTTTGCTAGACGGTCCTGCGCTAGCGCTACGTTAAATTTTCAACATCAGTTTAGTTTAAGTTTAATAAATTAAAACACTTATTGAGTATATTTATCTATTTTAAACAATCATTCTATTATTATGTTAACTAATAACAGTCGGTATTAGGCTAAAAATATTGGTAATTCTAGGCCTAAGTCATTACTACTCACATCCCACTGTTCGAAGCATGCACCATCACGCACCACATTTTATAAACAAAAAATATCGTGGATTGGATACAAAGTTCACGCATGCCCATATGACGTATGCCTTTCTACAGTTAAATTCCAGTAAAATAATTATTACAACTTCAAGAAAACTTGTGTTTTTATAGCATAAATGAATTTCACAAGTTTTTATTCTAAAATTATAGCGGTATCAATATTCTCTCTATAATGGTACAAACCACCGGGAACCAGGCGTCGAGCTGCAAGTTCCACCAGCCCACGTGTGTTTTGTTGCGACATCGAAAATGAAGCTGCTCACGTGACCTCGAGGACCGAACTCCCAAAAAGTAGTTTGTTTTGAGCGAAACGGTTTCAAACAGAAACAGCGTGTTTCAAAATTGTTTAAAAATGAAAATAATTATTTAGGCAACCCAAACTATTGCTTGAATGTCGTAGAAAATGTAGTAGGAATCCTAGTACAGCACTGTAGTGAGTATAATTACAAATATTAGGGCTACAAACCGGTCCTAGGCTAGGCTAATTAATTGAGCTATCATGAGCCTAACCTAGACAGACGCACCTGATTTTCGCCGCGGCTTGCGATCTGAACTTTTTTGGGATTAGGTTAATGACCGGTGTATATGCCGCACCCCAAACTTCGGCGGGAAAATCGCGTATAAAATTTGCGGCTTACACACCGGAATATACGGTACATATGTAAAAAAAAACTTACAAACTTATTTTGTGAAAAATTCACATGGAGGCACTGATGTAAAGTTTCTCTTTGTGGAGAATGGAATCATCCATCAGTGTGGTGTATATGCCAGAAAGCGTAATGTATTAAATGAGGAAGCGTGGTGATTATCACCTGTGTGTCACATTGTGATGGACCATTCTATTTTTTATATATCGGTTCATTCAGATACCTCACAGAATGTGTAGTACTGTCTAAAGTTATTAGGTTGACTAAAATTACTAATAGTCATTTTTCCTGTTTTTATAACTTCTATTTTGGTCATTCCAACAGCAAGCTAGAAAGCCTTATGATGTAAGAGATGTTATTGAGCAATACTCGCAAGGACATTTGAACATGACCGTGAGGATCAAGGAACTGCAACGGAGGGTTGACCAGTCACTAGGACGTATGCCCTATGCTAAAGGTACTAACAATCAATGCGTTATCATTTGTGTATCCTTTGTGTTTATATTCTGATATTAGTCCAGTCAATCTGTGGATTAACCCAGAACTAATTGTTACATATAAAATTATTTGGAAATTCAGCATCATTCGCACATGAGCATCTATCTAATTTAATTAAGAAACTGCTTTCATATGCCTCAATGCTACAGTTGTGCGCTGAGGTGCAATAAAGCGTTGAATGTTAACTCATTAAATATCCTTAAAATTAACAATGTTCCCCAGATTTAATTTTTTGGACTTTTAGTATGTTGTTATGTGTACATTTCAGGAGCAGATTCTGCAAACATTATTTCTGTTGTAATTAGTTGAGGGTTAAGAATGATTTTGTCACCAATTGACTGGACTATATAGAATTTTAAGGTTCAAGTTTTTTAGGTAAAGCAGACAGTGAGTAAACATACAAATCCCATGACTTACGCACATTATTAATTTATTCTCCTGCCAGGATAATAAATATAGTATACAAGGTTTAATTGTCCCATAAAAAATTCTACCCATCACATATAACTTGTTTATAATGAAACACAACAACCTATTTATACATTGTGTATTGTCTTTCGATGTGATCTGAATTTTCTCATTATGTAATGCAATTGTCACGTATTCGGTATTGCGCCATTTCTATAGGATTCAAAGTGCTCAGAATCGGATAAACAAAAAACAATAAAACCAAAATTGATGTTTGTTATTCAGTATCTACCAAAAGAAATAATTTTTTGTACATAATCAATTAATGCTGCTTTGGAAAAGGGGGTCCACCAACCATTGTCGAGGCAGCATCATTTCTCCAAGTGGATGTCTGCAGATATCCACAGCAAGTTTGATGTAACAACAGCTTCTGCCTTGGATCTGCTGTTGTTAGACTGCAAAAAAATGACTCTGCATTATACATTGTTTAAAAGCATAACTTGAAAGATTACAGTCACTATTCAATGCCACAGCCCTTGTAGGATTGAGGAGGCCAAAGATAGACCTTAAGTATGTCATTGTGACCTTGTTTCATTTGACCTCCTTGTGTTGCTGGTTGTGTAAAGAGAGATTATATACTTCTACATTTTTTCTGAACAAATTATAAACAAAGAGAGATAAAATATATGAGGTTGATACAATTTGTAATGAAGTGATTGCTCTTTGCAAATCAATTACTGTAATTATAAACTGTTTTAAGTTAATATATACCAGATTTTTAGGCATACCTGCATATGATAAAATTGGATACTTATATTGTTTTTTTCAATACTTGACTAAAATAATTTCATGTTTCTGATGTTTTGCCTAACCTTTTTTTTTTTTATATAGTGAAACCACTCTAAACTGCAAATTTATCAACATGATCTGCTAGATTTTGTAACCTAAATGTTGTCGTAACTATTTGTAGTCTAAATATTGGAAGAAGTGCGCTTGTGCCTGTATGCCTGCGCGGCCAACATAACTATGCTAATGAGAATATGGATTGCAGCCAGAAACTGCACATTAGGTGCAGATACGACCTACTGCAGGGTCCAAACAGGTGAAAAGTCTGATTCATTCAGGGCTAGCAAATGCTATAACCTGTGTATTGCATTGGAATGATACAATAAATTGTTATTGAACTACAACTTGTGTCTGTTATTGTTTTACTGATTGATCCTGTGAGAAGCATAACAATGTTAATTGCTTTTCTTCTTTAGGGGACAAAACAAAAAACACGATTAGCGGACGGATCTTGGCCATTGAAGACAGAGTGAATGAGGTTGATGTCAAATTAGAACAGTGCGTATCATTATTGCAAGCAGTTTTAAATACATTACAGGAACAAGAAAACTGGAGAGTAATGCTGGCACCAACGAAATCCAAAGAAGTGGAGGTATGAAATTGATTGAAACAGTTCATCAATAGTGGGCAGTGTTTAAACAATTTTAGTGGAAATTTTGCCATGACAATCATCATAGATGTTTTACAGCTCCAGAATCTGATTTTTGAATAAAGAGCTTTTCAATGTGATTTCATATCCTGGCAGAATATCAAGATTCCTAGATGCAGAGGACAATGAGGCATCATGAAGCAGTTTTTTTTTGCTTTTGTGAAAACTCGGTTGCTTAAATTATATTTACCAATAAAAACTTAATATGCACAATTTTGTATAAGGCTATTTTAAGCTTTTGTGAAGGATTATCGAGTGAAACTCAAATTGATTGTAAAATACACAATAGACTGGAGCAATTTTTCTTATGCATAATTATCCCTTTACAAAAGGTATTTATGTAAATTACTATTAACAATGAACATTATGTATATCTGTATATATACATTTGTGTATCTTTATATTTGTATATAATGTAATTTTACTTATGCATTAAGCATATTGCAAGACAGTTTCATTTAATTGCTGGAATTTTTAAGAACTAAACAATTTTGTTATCAAAAGAAATTCTTAGATCTGTCTAATTTTTGGGTGCTTCGCACTAAAATATTCATCCTCATCCTGTATTGAATGTGTTCAGGCTAGCCTATTTTAAATTTTATCTGGACTTGCTAACAGTTGGAATATGATCGCACAATAAGAGGTCCGATTTAAGTGTAGACAAAATGTTGCACTTTGCATATTATCATTTATCACCTCAAAATAACAAAATCAAAATTATTTGTGTTTGTTTATGAAAACAAAATGCGTTGGTAGAGACTTTTTGTGTAGTAAAGAATAGAAAAAGTCCTTGACAACCAATACATGCAATGAAAAATTGTGAATTTTAGATTTTTCAAATTATCAAGCAACTTGGCAATATGCTAATTATGAATCCTTATCTTTCAATATAGCAACTCTTTATAATGGAATTCTTATTATTATTATTATTATTATTATTATTGTTTATTATTATTATTTATTATTATTATTTATTATTATTATTTTTTTTAATTATTATTATTATTATTATTATTATTATTATTATTATTATTATTATTATTATTATTATTATTATTATTGTTGTTGTTTAATAAATATTTGTATATATCACCAGAATTTGTTCATGGTGTGTGAGAGTTTCAAGTTTCAGTTTTGAAACCATTCTCCATTCTATGATGTAGTGGTGTTTACATTGTTTTTTAACTGTAAGTACATTTTATGAAGGCCAATTTTAATATTTTACACTTAACTGAAATTATATAAAGATTTAATATTTGGCTTTTATTAATTTTAACATGATGGGAATAATATTTTGATAATTGATTTACTGTTATTTATTGTAATATAATATTACAGTAGTAGTATAATTTAAGCCACATTAACAATAATTTTTAATGGATAATATAGATTATTCGGTATATGATAAACTATGATGAAGTAAAAGATAAATCACAGTGGGAGTTGTAAGCTTAAAATATATACAGGTGTGTTGCAGATACTTGTAATAACTACTCAGTCAGCTATTATGATTGAAATACTTTATTCAACCTCCAAAAGAGCAGTATACAAGAGTGTTCCATATCGTTATGGCAACAACTGAATCGACAGACCTGAGATTTATTGTAGGCTCAGACTGTTCAATGGCAGCATCAAAAGTCAATAATTTTGTCAGGAAATATTACTTCGAAAATCATTTTCAGAATGTCATAGCTGAGGATGGCCTCTCGTCGGAGAGTACAAACCTCTATTCAGGGTCACAGTACTCACTTATGAAAATGTTTCTCTTGATAAATTCCAAAAATTATACCCCCACCCCATTTTTTCCTAAATTCTGGATCCATCTGAACATTCACCTTCCTCCAGTGCTCATAACCCTGGTGATAATATTACAGAAGTGTACACATAATATATTTAAATTATTAATATTACATTTCATATACAATTTTACCAGTGTATATACATATAATCATTTTTTAAATGCCAAATGTCAAATGTGCCTAAGAATGTAAGGTGTCAAAAGCTTGCATTCATGTTTCTTACTGTATGTCATTTTTCAAATTTGATTAAAATTGAATTAAGTGTGCTGTCTCGCACTGATGAGTAATGATTAAATTTAGACATACATACCTATGCATCATGTGGCATGAAGCTAGATATTTGATTGGTCCATTACCATATGGAAACAAATGTAGTTTGTAATTATTTGATATGCACATTTTATTATTATGAGTTATTATTATTATTTATGTTATAATTACTTTCTTCTTTTTTCAATAAGAAAGGGATATACAAATTATTGTTGAGATCAGTCACTTCCAGTTTGGAGGAATTCAAGAATTCAATTCAGGGATATCTAGTTAAGTGAGCTTTTTAGCGTAGGCCCTATCTAATAATATTTTGTACAAGGTGATTAAGAACACAATATGAGGAATTGGCAATCAAAATAACGTTATTTGGACAGGCAAATTATTATTTTTGTCGTGGCATCGGACAAGGCGGGTGGGTTTTAGGTCTGTCCGATGGGGGAAAACCGCTGTATATTGCACAGTGCATTGACTCTTATCTAGGTGATGCACCCACTAGTTTTAGTAACATGATGAAATAGGCATACTAATTTTAAAAGAATAGTTTTAGATTCAACAGTGAGGGCATCATGTTGGCCATAGGATTTCCCAAGTTCATATTTGTCTCACAGGAGCCTTCCAGAAATTAGGATAGCCTCTCCCAAGCAAGAATCTCCTGGAAAATAACCCATCTCCGCAAATTCATAATATTTGCATGTTTTCACTGCTTATTATCAATTGTCTCAGTGCCGATGGGTATCACTATTTGCAGGAAACTAAAATTAATTGTGTTAAGATAGTGGATTTAAGGGCAGGGGATGGACAGCAGCCGGCCTGGGCCTCCTAATTTTTTAAAAATTATAAAAAGCAAATGGAGAAAAAAAGAAAATTATATATATAAAATTATATTTATGTCTAACAGTGCCAATATCCGGCCATCTAGAGTTGCCATAATTATCAATTTTCTTACCGCAGCCCCAACAATCTGTGCAATACACAGTTCTGTGCAAAATATTTAGAATTCCACACCAAAATCGCAATATTTATTTTTTTTTAATATTCAACAAATATGACCTCAACATAAACAAAAAATGTATACCTAAATATATAAAGAAAATGTATACAATAATGTAAATTTTACTATATCTACATTTGAATCATTCACTTAACATACAATATATAATATTCTAAATGTTTATTCTAAGCTTCAATTTCACTTACAGCTACGCCTAAGTATCTAGACATAACACCTAACAAGTAATATAACCCATAATATACATGTTTAATAGTTTATTAGTGTTTATATACTGCATAGGCTTTATGATTAAATGTTAAAATATATAATTTTGTACAATAATAAAATGGTTTATTCACCAACTAGAAAAAAAAAATGTTTTAACAGTTCATGATTATGAAAATGTATGTAAATAGTAAGTCAAAATTATTTGATACATTACCTGTTATTATAATATATTATTATTGTTAATTTAAGGTTTATTATAATTATTGATATTATTATTAACATCAATATTTAATTAGTTTTGTTCATATATTTTAAAATCATATCACACCAAAATATTATTATTATTTTTGTTATTATTATTATTTGTAATCATTTAATATTTAATTATGTAATTCTTATTGCTTCTCTACTTTGAAGGCACGTATGAATCACAAGTGCCGCTGTTCTAAAGGTGTACTCTATTTTTTAATATATAAATTTATAAAATATAACTTGATGGATCTTCTGCTGGTACAGAGTTTCACAGAATTTTAAAAGTATAAAATATATTATTTTAAAAACAATTTTATGCTGTGTATGTAATCAATGTTCTTGATTGAAACTAGATTAACTCCATTATTCCATGATCAGAGTCACTTCATTAGAATCAATCAATCGACCAATCAAAATGTTTTCTTCAGTATGCAGGAATATGAATCCCATAATTTTGTGGGACTCTTAGCAAAAATATCCAAGTATCGTATAGGACTTAGGGGAATGTCCCATTAAAGACAGCTTGACACCACTAAATGCCTATATTACAACCCAGACATTTTTTAAACAACATTCCGTAATTTTGAAGTTTGGTATAGAAGCTTATTAAATCCACTTTTACTTGGTAACATTCTGTTTGTGTAATGTTATCAATTTTAAGTGATATTTAAATATTTATATATGTGCAGTATAATCCTTACGTACTTGTTGATGCAATTTTATACCTTTGAAATATCTTTGGTGTATTAATAAAGATGTTTATTTATGTATTTGTTTATAAATATTGATTCATGTCATATACTATTCTACCTCTTTGTATTTCTTACCACCAGTATGTGTTATATATGGGTTAATTGCTGAACCTAATCATTCCACATATGAAATGAATAGATATTCATTAACATTAACAATGCGTTGTATTCACAAATAATGCAATAAATATAGTTTGAATTGTTTATTAGGCTGCCATTATAGTACACAAGCTTCTGTGCATATATTTATTGATGAAGTAGATATGATTATGTTACATCATATTCATTGTGTTTCGTCAGTAGTGGTGCCAGGATTGTTCCGTTGGGCAGGGGAGGCCAATGTCCCTGGCGGGAGCGTAGGCCTGGGTGGGTAGTCAGGGGGCCACGCAGAACCCCTTACAAATTAGACCTGGTCCAGAGGTGAAGAAATTTATGGATTTGAAAGGCTTATTAAATCAATTTTTTCCACCTGTTGGATTGTGTTGACTTCCCAGATAGAGGGGAAGCTCTTCTCGACAGGAGACTCCCTCCCCTGTTACAACTGGTATTTGTATATAGTAATATGTTTATTTGGTTGTAGTTTTTGTTACACATAAAAATGGAAGTTTGCTTACCAAAGAATAATGCTGACAAAGTAATTGAAAGTCTACTAAATGCATCCAGATAATTTCAATTATTTGCTAGCTTTTTATAGTTTTACATAAACTTGTTGAATTGCTTCTAAATAACAGTTACACAAGTAAATTTGCCATATGTGTCAGTATAATGAAATCGTTTATTTCAATTTCTCAGTTTTCTCTAAGTTTTCCATCCTCATGATATTAAATTATGCCAATTTTGAATTTTGAATATTTTAACTACAATTTAACCTTCGAACCATGAGACCACCACCCAATGCTGTAGTCAGCTATTGGGGTAGTTGGGACAGTCCCACACAATTTTTATATTGGGTTCACATTTTAAAAATGGGTCCAGATTTCTCATATTTTGTGTAAGATGGGTCGACTTTTAAGAAAATGGGTCCAGATTTCTGATACTTTGCATAAATTGAGAGAACTTTTAGGAAGATGTGTCCACATTGTTTGAATTTACGCATATAGTGGGTCCATCCTGATATTGTCGCACACTGTTTGAAAATCCTGGCTACGGCATTTCCACCACCCCAAATGTCCTCTAGCAGGTAACACCAGATGTTGATGTCCTCTAGCAGGTATCGAATTGTATTAGTTTTAGTTATGTAGCCAAATTGATCATTTATGTGCACTTCCTTAAAAAAGAGATATGCCTGACTTGTATGCGCATCTGAAGACAGTAAAACCTGGTTTTCATAATAGGCCCTATTGCTAAACGCTATCACCACGACAGTTGCAAGGATTACAGCAAAAAAAGCTGTAGCGACATGTAATGGAATTCAGGCTTTAAGGAGCGTTAATTTACTTGGATTTTATAAACTCAGATTGTACATAGCCACCCAATCCAGACTGCACGTATTAGTTTGCTTATACCAGACTAATATGCATATAATGTAAAACTGCTATTCACTCCTTCACAGTCAGATTTTTCATTTTCATGAAGGACATGAATTTAAAAATCATATAATAATATCTTGAAAATCTATTAAAGAACACATACTGTTGTAGGCCTAATATGATTTTTCTTTTTAATAATATAGGCCTATACAGCTTTTTAGCACTTTCACGTTCGTTTCAGTGGCGGCGCCTTGAGTGGCCCGAGTGGGGCGTGGTCGGATGTCGTTCAAAATGTCTCCAAAGTGGTCCACCCAGGGGGCTTACCTGAAAAATATGAGAATTTTGGGGTTTCAGAGGCTTATTTAATCGATTTTTTAGGTAGATAGTCTACTAATATGTAGAAAATACAGAACATTTTTTTCGGGGGAGGGGGAAGAAGAAAACTTTCTGGGGGTAATGACACCCCCCCCCCCGTAGCGCCGCCACTGGTTCGTTTTATTTTTTCTAAGTTAAACAGATAGTTTTTAATGACATTGTGATATATAATATATATATATAACAACCTAAATTACTAGTTATTTATATCGCGCAACCCTATGCAATGACATTATACAGTTACTTTTTAAACTGTTGGTGTCGCTATTTTATTTCGGCTTTAGGAAAACGTCTGTGCCTGATACTGTATTTTTGTAGAGTAATATCCATGATCGCAAACACGGTCTTATTTTCTCATTTATAACAGACATAGAGGAATGACTTACTTTATTCCTTTATGGAGCATGTATATTAACTATGAAATATATTTAAATTTAAGATGTGCACTGACAAGATATGATAATTGTGTACTTTAGGCCTAGGCCTATTTTAGCACCTTCCATGAGCAAACTACATGTATGACTTATTTTGCTCCCGCAGCAAAGGCCGCATACAGTTGTATAGTTTGTATTTTATATAGTTTTATTATACTGTATTTTATTATTCTGAATAAGCATGTATGTATAGCCTAAACATGTGTTCGAGGGCCATTTTATGAAAGATTTTAAAAGTACCATTTCATTTTTTAATTACATAATTTTGGACGATGAATTGTTGCTGTATGAAATTGATATATTTTTACGTGGTCATATCCGCACAACTGTTCCATTTTAAAAATGTTTTTGGAAATGTTTCCTCAAAATGATAAAAGTATACCTTCGATATTCAATATTAGGGTGCTTTCGATTTGTGCGACGACGCGATTCTAGAACGGAATCACTCATGCGTGACCATCCTACCTAGCGTTTTTCTCTGCATACGTAGATTTGGCCAAATTGCGTTCCAGAATCTACTCGACGAGGTGACCTTAACGTTCTCGCATGCGCATATGACTTAGTGACGTCATTACGTTCTACCCAGCTGTGTCAATCAAAATTTACAACTGACCAATCAGAATAGGGTCAGAAATACGCGCTTGCTCCATCATGTCCCTCACAAATACGCGTCTTGTTCACAATCGTACATTTACGT